TGTTTCTATACTTCCTCTACAGCATAGAAGATCTATGCTTCCCCTACCATCTAGCCGTCTAATTTTGATCAAGAGAGCCACTCACAATTTGATATTAGATCCAACATCTCAGTGTTTTATTTATAGTTTTTTTATGCAAATTGTTGTTTATGATGAAAATCTGACAGATCTTCCGATGAAGATCTCTTGAATTTTAACACCTTAAACTAATTAAAAAGATGTAAATAAAGTGGTAGAGAAAGTGAGACAGATCGAATTCAGATCTGAGGCCAGATTTGCCCGAAAATGAATAGATATGTGGCAGAGCGAGCATGACCCAGAGCATTAAAATATGATTTTTAAGACAAGTTACCATATCAAAAATAAATAAAAAAAGCAAAACAGTAAAAAGAAGAAGAAAGAGAGAGAGGAAGAAATGATACCAAACAGGGCTTTATAGCTCGAGATTCCCGAGCTTTCGACGGCTCGCCCGTATCAGAACCGGTCCTCTTTGCCTCTTTGATTCGGATATTGACCAGCAGATCTTTGATGTAAAGGGTTAGATCTAGGGTTGTTGTGCCCTAATTCTAGTTTTGATCTAGGGTTTTTGTGCCGTAAGTCTAGGTTTTCTCAGTCTTGAGGGTTAGGACTTCAGGACGCTAGGGTTTCTATCTTCTATAGGGGTTTCAATCTAGAGATTTTTCTAAAGCTGTCTATCTTTCTCGGGGTATGGAGGAGAATTTCCTTAGTTTTCTAAGGGTTTTGTGATCTCTAGAGGTTGAATATGAATTCTAAGTTTTTATCTAATTTTTTTGTATTTTTAGGGATTTTTCCTAAATTTTTAGAAATTTTCTAAGGGGTTTTCTTATTTTTGGTATTTTTGGATAGTTTTTCTAATTTCGAGAATTTCTAAAGTTTTTTTTGTCTATTTTTCTCTCTCTTTTTGGGTTATGGAGAGGGGGTATTTATAAGATTCAATTGGAGTTTTTTTCTTAATTTTTTGGAATTTTTTGGATTTATCTTGAAGTTTTAGCTTATATAATTAAAGAAAATACGTTTA